AGTATATGCTTTTTTTTAGTTACCTTATAGCAAATGAGTATTAATTTTTAACATTCTAATTTGAAGGTTTCGGAAAGGTTTCGGGTTTCGGGTCACAACTATAGTTAGGACACGAAAAGCTGTTTTTATAAGCAAAAAATTTTTTTTTTCATTTTGTCGATCACGATCGACAAATCTGGCACAAATTTCTTGAGTACCTCGTGATATTTGATGTAAACATCTGCTGGTTTACAACTTGTTTCAAGCCAAAATTATTAGGTAGCATGCTATTGAGTACCATAATTAGAAATGTTTGGCAAATAGTTTCTTAAGATATTTAATTGTAAGCACCCTTCTGAGGCATAGAGATATCCAGCTTTTAAAAATAGTCCAGCACGCAAAGAGCAAAGTAAGGGAACATGTAAAAGCCTGCACGGCCCGGGCCAAAATTAAAATTTTTAGAAACTTAGAAAAATTGCGGTCCAAATGTGTCAAAAAACATAGTAAAATGCGATCCAAACTTTTTGATAAAACGCAATAAATTTATTTTGCGAGTCGTGCTGGCAAAAGTAGCTCATGCAGACCTATGTATTTCATATATAATCATGTCTTTAGTTAGTCTAGAAGATATCCCAATAGGGTGTATGATTTAGTATGTAAGTAAATATTTCAAGTGCTTGACTCTACCTGTTATTCAAGAATTGGATAGGAAATAAACCAAATACCATGGTTTAGTGAATATGAAATATGAAATATGAAATCCTTTTATTAAGTCATTAGTTTGGCTTACTATTTGCACAATCCTTAATTTATTTTGGAAATCAACGTACTATGCATGAAATACAATAATATATTGAACTGAATTTACATGATAAAGATTACAAATTAACTAGAATTTATGAGTGATAATTTTTCATAAGAATTAGATGCCATAATATACTGTAGTATCATATAATAATGGGTTTGTAAAACACGATGGTCACATACTGTAAAAGAAATTAAGCATTAGAAATTTGATTTACAATATAAATAACCAATGGAAATAATAAATACCTTTTTCCTATATCTTGCTGTGGAGGCGACGGCCATCACGCCGTCTCTTATAGAACAAGCATATAAATGATTCAACACTACATGATTTGGTACTGGCAAAACACTATTATCCTCCTTTGAAACTGCCGAGCTATTTAGCAAAACTTTTTCCAGATGTGGTGGTAGGGCTGGTGGTTGATCTTCTGTCATACTCCCTGGGGATTCAGGGGGATCTTTTATTGATGTGGAATTATCAAAGTTGGTTTCATTAATGTTACGGGAATGTGCATATGCAAGAAGATATCCCGGGATTTCATTTGTGTATTCTCCCGGAGGTGTACTTGATAAAAGATCTAAAAATCATCATATATATCAGAATGAATATAATTTATAATTATTCTATAATATTTAAATATGCTTTTTTGTTTTTTTACCTTCCGTGCTCATTCCATTCTGATCCATAGAATCTCCTTCCTCTTCAAATACTTCTAAATAATTTACCAAGTTTCCATCTGGATCGGTAGCAGTTGAAAGTTCATTTGAACATTTCCATTCATCATCAACAATGAATTTAAGTTTATGGGTTCCCGGAGGTAAATTCAAAATCGTAGTAAAATCTTTAGAGCTATTTAATATGTATTTTAATACTAACTATATATACGGTCATCACTTATTTAAATTTATTTATTTATGATACTGACCTTTTACATAATCTAACATTACGCTTCCACTCATTAAAAGTTCCTGTCACGTAGACATTATTACCACCTTGACTCCAAGTAATAATCGTAGGGACTCCTTTGTTTTTTATATCTATCAACGAAATGATTTATACATTCCAATCGGGAATTAGACAAGAATTGAAATTTTACAAGAATTACAATTATGTATTTGCCATTATTAATAAAGTTTTTGTTGAGTTTTTATAACAATACCTTTTCCATTTGCTCTTGTCAATGGTGCTATACCTCCGCTTGAACTAAAATCATGTATGACTCTATTTGAATTTTTGTAAGATGGCTCAGATGGGCGTCGAATTGTAATAGCTCTTGACGAACCATCTCCACCAGTTAAAATATCTCCTTCATTATAACTTGATGAATAAAACTCAGTTTGACTATTTCCAAAATATATATCTTCTAATTTTTTATATTCTTCATGTGAAAGTAAAGGTGAACCGACAAACGGTGAATTTGATCCGAAATCACGGAATGAATTCCTTATTGACCGAACAGAAGTAACAGGAGTTGTCAGTTCACTTTGTGAAGATTCTGAAGATTGTATACTATTATCTGGTTTTTGTAACTCTATGTTTCCATTAGATTGTGAATTTCCCATTTTGATCTAAGAACAGGAAAATTGAGAAAATTGAAAAAGCCGGATTATATGCGAGCTGGTACATGTATATGCATGTGAATGTTATAATTTATCACGTGGCCGTTCGACAAAAAAGGTTAACAAAGGTTTCTGGTATAAGCCACGTAATGCGCCAAAATTTATATACGTACGTACGTACGTACGTACGTACGTAATTTTAAATTTTTGTTAACTGTTAATTTCTTTTTTACACGCGTCATTTTTATTTGTTATAATGAATACAGAAGAAGGTACAACAAATGTCATAAAAAATGAATTCCAAATAGAAATTATGTTTCATTTTCAGGATATTTAGCTCTTTTTAAGTAAATTGTCCGGTATGCGGAAACTTGATTGACATTGCGATTATTAACGAACATATAGACAATAATTGTTCAATGACAATTACTAAAAATCCTAAAAAATTGATGTCACCTGTCAAGGTAACATTTCGAACAAATTATCATCAGATCTTGATTTCTCAATTTTTAAAATCTGGTCATTGTAATTGATTAGAATGATAAAACAATGCAAGCAACGAAACGCAAAAACATGTT